CACACACACACACACACACACACACACACACACACACACACACACACACACACACACACAAACACATAACGAAGCAATGGACTCAAAAATCACACGTAATTAAAGGACAATTGAAGTCAAATTTTATAACTTCTGTAACGTTTTTATACATAGAAATACATTCAATAACGTATTCCATTTCAAATCCGGCACCCAATTTGTAATAAACACATGAATATTAATCTAGGTCATGTGACGTCACATCCCAATGTTGAAACACGCCATTATATAGCATAACAGTGCTAACACGCTAGTATGTTATGCTAGGTGAAAGTATTGTTACAGCATACAACAAACATGTAGCCTGTACATGTACTTATATTCGTGTACATACATATTACCTGTGTGGATAATGCATTCACGGTATATGTACATGACTTGCGTAGAAATGTTTGTACATGTACAGATACATGTGATTCTGACCGAGCGTGATAAGCCCGGTGATCAGAGTACTCGCATGCCTCACCTGGTCTAGCGTCGAACTGGTTTACAATAACCCTGGTCTTCTCATTCTCATGGTATCAGCATCAGCATATACATTCAGGTGACGTACTCATTAATTCACAAACACTACAAGAACACCAGTATTTGTCTACAGTCCTATCTGGTACCGAAGCTTCCATTCCGCCATGAATTGTGACTGTTCTGATTCTCGAGAAATGTGTGCCGACTCTTCGCGTTGCTTTTTCAGACGATTCTCCTCAATTTCTTCTTGTGTATATTCAGGCTCAAACCTATATCCAACTGGTAAATCACTATAAATATCATCATCATCTGAGTAATCACTAGAATCATTGAAATTATCGCTTTCTGTCTCCATCTTATACACCACACGCACTATGTTTCCATAATGGCGTGTTTCAACAGGGGGCTGTGACGTACGTCACATGACCTAGACTAATATTCATGTGTTTCTTACTGCGGATTTGAACTGCGGGCGCCGGATTTGAAATGGAACACGTTATTGAATGTATTTCTATGTATAAAAACGTTACAGAAGTTATAAAATTTGACTTCAATTGTCCTTTAAAGTTTACGTTCATGCCCCCTGGATTTAAACAACCAACCCTCAGAATTAATTTCTGCTCAGTCATGTGTCGACGTGAGCTATTGTAATATGGTGTCAGTTGGCAGCCACACACACGCACGTCATCAATGTGGTGATCCGGTTGGTTAAAATGGTCAGCAAAAACCATGCAAATTGAGGCGAATAGATCTTAGGTGTTCAACAAACCTATCCGCAAGACGGCGTTTTGTTTCGCCAATATAGTAAATTTGGCATTTAACGCATTCAATGGCGTAAATGAGGTTCGTCGACACGCATGTAAATGAATCCCGCACTATAAATATGCCCCGAGGCCCTTGAACCACAGACCTATTCGTGATAAAATTACAAGTACTGCAACGTTTCCGACAACACGGGTATGAGCCAGGTTGGCTCACGGGGTTGTCAGAGTTGTAAACGGTGCTTGAAACAAGAGTGTCGCGGAGGTTGGTATCACGTCTGTGCGAGCATAAAGGTGGGTTTAAAAAGATGTTAACTGTGATTGGATCGTTTTGAAGAAAATTTATAATTATCAATAACAAACTTTTCGACTCGTGCACGGTGAAGGGTGATAGGTTAAAACAATGGACATCTGTCTGACGCCTTATTTCACGCCGTCTTTTTCTTAGGGTTATTAACGACGCCCGATTTGAAGGGGTATCTTTTTAATTTCTTAGATAGATTCAGATTGATTTAGTAGCCACGGCGTGTATAAAAACATTTCTAATCATCTATCGTTTTTGAGGCTGCATATCTATTTTTAAACGTACAGTGAGAATTTCGGAGGCTAATTTTTAGTGTGGCGAGTGGTGAGAAGGAAG